GAGTTTTTTTTCTTGTTGATTTTACATTTTAAAAATATTCATATTTAGATAAAACAACAGGTATGGAAATCGATGGCACAGTCGATGCTGATGAAGTAATGTATTAAATAGAAAGGAAATCATCCTATTTTCTTTTTTTTGAGTATTCTAGTCTATAGTAGTTAACTTAAATCAAACACGATTACAAAGATTGTATGTATATATGATGAATTAAAATAAATTATCAGAAAGAATTTCTTATTTTTTTAGATGCGAACACTTTCGAAAACGAAAATTAATTTGGACAATAGTTTTGATTATTTTGATTGTTGCAATTATAGTTAATCCAATAGTTATTGTTACAATGAATAAAGGAAAACGAGAAAAAACATCAACAATACAGATAACAACAGTGGAGATAATAACAGCAACAGCAGCACACATAACAACAGAGAAAATAGCAGCAGCAACAGCAGGCAAACCAGAACAAATAACAACAACAGAGAAAACAACACAAATAGCAACAGAGAAAACAACACAGATAGCAACAGAGACAACAGCAACCGGTATGATTTTGTTAGAACTAATTCGTTTCTTTTTAAAAGTAATTCATAAAAGATAAATTAGTTTTAATATTGATTTTTCTCTTTTCAATCTTAGAGATTTTATTCAAATAATAATATAAAACAGTTTAATCTTTGATATCAGCCGTCATAAATAAGGCTTTTATAGAATAATATCGGATAAGCTCACTGAAAGATGAATGCGAATGTAGTATTCGATTCATACCTCATCGGTCTACAACCACACATACCTCTCTCGTAATTTGTATGTAGTGACGTCAAAACATTCTGTTCAATAAAACGAAATATGTTTTTTTTGTTAAGAAAAAAAATTGAAATCTTTTTTTTTGTTTTACAGAAGAATTAATTCCTTTGGTTATTATTAATGAAGATACGAAATGGAAACAAAGTGCAACTACTGTTGCTGGAGGAAATAAACGAGGAGATGGACTAAATCAATTAAAGCAGCCTCTGGGTATTTATGTTGATGAGGACAGTGAAAGTATTTATATTGCTGATACTGATAACAATCGTATTGTTCGATGGAAATTTGGGGCAAAGAATGGTACAATTGTTGCAGGTGGAAATGGACAGGGCGATAACATAGATCAATTGCGGTCTCCAACAGACATAGTTCTTAATAAAGAGAAGACATCTCTCATCATTTGTGATTCGTATAACAAGCGAGTGATTCGATGGTCTCTTCAAAATAGTCAGAGTAAAGAAATATTGATCTCTGATATTTCTTGCTGGGGTTTGGCAATACATAATAATGGAGATCTTTATATTTCTGACTATAAAAAACATCAAATCAGACGTTTGCAGCAAGGAGATAAAGAAGCTACAATCGTAGTAGGTTACCATGGACAAGGAAATCAGTTGAATCAATTAAATGAACCTATGTATATCTTTGTCGATAAAAATCATTCAATTTACGTAGCGGATTGTGCGAATAATCGTGTAATGAAATGGATGAAAAATGCGTTTGAAGGGACTCTTGTTGCTCCAGGAAAAGCTTCTGGCGAAAGTCTTAATTCACTAAAGGAACCTATAGGTGTTATTGTTGATCATGTTGGTAATATTTATGTGTCAAATTCTTATGCTTTTCAAATAAAACGTTGGTCGCCAGGTGCAAAAGAAGGTGTTCCTGTCGTTGGTGAAGAAAAAATTGAAAGCGACGGACCCACGGAGCTCAGCCATCCATATGATTTATCATTTGATCGACAGGGTAATCTATATGTTCTCAGCTATGGCACGAATCGATTACAAAAATTTGTTATTGATGTTGACTAAAACAAATTTTTGATGATAAAATGACTTTTAATAAATATCTCTTTTTTGCCACTTTTCAATTTTTTTTTCATTAATAACAAATAAAGTTCTTAAAAATTATGAATAATTTGGAGGGTAGATGTGAATCTGAGATTTAAGAGTAGATAATCACATCTACACCCATCTTGAGGGTGTGGGTGTGGGTGTGGATATTACTGTGAATAAAAGAAGGGTAAAACACCCAAATCCACAGTCATTCAAGTGCACACCCACAATCATCCACACCCGAAACTCACTCGCAGATTCTTAATGATTTATTGTGAAAACGACAGTAACTCAATAGATCAGGTTACATTCTATGTCGATATATCGTTTGGTATCAGGAAAGAGTATCGTTTTTCTTGTTTGACAGACTTTATATTATGATTCTATGATCATGATTCTACAAATTAGAAATAAAACATGAACTGTCAATATGGAGAGTATGACAAAATTGATTCTGATTTTTTTTCTACAGGATGTGTAACTATATACTATCATGAAACTAACATTATTATTTTAACACGTTTATTAGTTGTTTGAACATCGTTCTATTCTCTTTCTAACGTTTTTTTATTACTAGTAGACAAGTTTATCGATGACAGTAATTATTCATTCACATTCACATCAGAGCAGAAAAAAGTTTTCTCTCACTAAAAATATATAACTTTTTATCCCTCTCGACTATAGACAGTCTTACAACGAGTGAAGATAAAAATAAAAACGGTCGATAATGGACGCAAGCTTATTAAACAAAGGTAAATTCATTTTTCAGCTTCTTAGAATAATTTTAATTCGATGGACAACTATTACTTGTCAATTGGATTTTTATCATACTGATGAAGCAATTAACAGCAATTCTTTACAATATAATTGTTTGAATTACCATGTTTACTGTAAGAAACCGGCTTATTCTAAATTATCAAATATCATTGGCGAAGTCATTCCATACTGTTTTCGTCCAGTACACTATTCCGAACTACCACTCGAAACCTCTGCTAATCCACTTTCTCAAAAACTAAGTTTCGAACAATTACGTCTGACTCATATCATATTACTTCAGAATAACTTCTCTCGCGGTCAGTTTCGATTGATGTAACTCAGCGATATCGATTCTATCTAACTGAACCGAATGTTGTATTTAATGAGGACCTCTACAATTGTACTGAACCGTGGTTTGGCCCTCGGTATCAATATTCGTTTCCTTCCGGCGGACGTAGATCTTTCAACTATATTGTTGAAGAGGCTTTTTCTTTGGGAAGTGGGTGAAGGCGATGCGGACTGTCTCGATCGATCAGATGAAATATTTGATGCCTTCTATATAAAATCCTGTTTCCAAGATCCTGCATTCCGCTGTGAGGAACATTCTTGCAGAACATACGAGGATACATTTCTCTGTGCAGATGGCCAATGTGTCAACAAATTTGATGAATGTTATAATGGACGACACATGTTACTGATAGAGTCGATGACAGCTATAGGTAGTCTAACAGACAAATGTTTGATTGCTATGATTTATCTCACTGAACTCGCGGAGCAAATTAATGGAAGTTCATGTAAAATATGGCTGATGAACGACTCAATTTACGGGTTCCTCAAACAATTTGATTCGTTTTTTCAATTTCCAACTATACCAGTTCATTCTGCTCACATTCGTCTCTTTTATGAAGAGCCGTATTTAAGACAGAAAATAAACGAGTTTCTTCTACCTGATTATCTTTGCTACAATCAACAACTATGTGATTCTATTAACCCTGATTTAATTCGTGAAAATCTCACTTGTATAAATATGTCCAAATTAGTGCTAGAACTGGATATTAAAAACAGACTCTAGAACAAACTGATGAGGACGATCGAACTAAATTTTCGTCCTTGTTTGATTTCTGATGCGACGTCACGCAATAAAACAAAAAAATATGAGGATCATTCGTTATTATATAACTGTCGCAACACATCGAACTTTATTTCTGTACATACCGAATGAGATGTCCCAATACGGATACATGCTGGTCCCCTATATGGAAAAAGTATGCTTGTTTAATGACCAGACTTGAAGACATTATTCCATTTCAACGCTTTTGTAATGGTATCAATCAATCCATTTACTACGATACTTCTAGACAAGATTATAATGATGAGTTTGAGTATGAGGAATGGTTACGTAACAATATGTATGCACGTTGCGATGATTTTTGGGGATGTACCGACGGATGAGATGAGAACAATTGTAGTCGAACAAGATGTCGTTCGGGAACGCAAGCCTGTCTACATCCTCTTAATTTTACAGTAATATGCTTACCTCACACACGTGTTAATGATGGAAACGATGATTGTCTTGGTGCATCCGACGAACAATACGAATGTTAAAGGATCTATCCTCCGAGCGAAGTTCCTGAGCGGTTTCGCTGCTTGCGAGATACAACGTGTTTGGTACCATCAGAATTATGCAACAACATTAATCACTGTCCACTTGATGATGATGATGATGAAAAATTCTGTAAAACTCATCAAGTCAAGTGTGTTAACGATTCAACATACAATCGCAGTGAAATAGAAGAGGTTCTTTGCGGGCTGAGTGAACAGAAAAATCGTAGACAATAGTATTTTTCTGTTCATACATCATCTAACTATCCTTCATTAGAAGGTATTATCGTCAATGAAAGTTTGTATTGGTCAATAGAACGACAATGTATCGAGAATGTCAACATAGATCGCAGTGAGGATAATATATCGCGATTTATGTCAATATCAAAATCAACGAATTAGTCTTCCATTATATTTGAGTTCAGTTGATCGACATGCTACTTATGCATACGATCAATTTGTATACATAACAGAGGAAAGTTGTAGTACTAAGTTTAATCGATATTTATTATTTCCTACACGACCGAAAGACTTATTCAAGAACTATAGTATACGTATTGATGCATTCGAAAAAAACAGGATAACGTATGTTAGAAGTTGGCATTTTCCTATTACATTTCTCTTTTTACCTGTCAATCGACTAGCTATTTCGTTGATTTTATCAAATTATATCATTCAAACTTCGTCCAATCGCTTGATTACTTGCAATAATGGTACCTGCGTAAGATACTTAAATAAAGAAAAGTATTTCTGTCGATACCATTCTCAATGGACAGGCATTCAATGTAATATCCCAATAGATCGGCAAATATGTTCAGACAACTCATTTTATTTGGGATCAGTAGACAACCAACCGATGTGACCTCTCCTGACAGTAGCTATACTTGCGTTTGTTCTGATCAATTTTTGGTGTAAATTGTCAATATGTTAAGGTTAGACTCGAGGTTTCTCTAATTGATATGCGTATTCCATCGTATCTTGCGGCTTATTTCTTCACACTCTCCAATAAATCTGACCCGATGCAGGCAATTATACTTCGAAAATTGACCCTCTTTCAAGACACTGCTACCTTTCACATTTCAGTACCATTTCATGTGGCAATTATTCAATCGAGTGGTAAATATTATCTTGCTGTACTTCAACAATCTCTATATACAAATATCTCAACATCAATTCGTCCTTCACAAGAGTGTATGCCTGCTTAACAATTATTGAATTCCACAGTAATGAAAATAGTTCAGTTTCGACGAATAATATTCTTCCATATTCTTTGTCAGACACGTACTGATCTATTATGTTTCATTGATCCAGCCTGTTTCTTTGGTGATGAATGTCAATTTTATACCAAAGGTTTTGGCCCAACATTAGATGAAATATTAGGTTATGAATTAAAACGTAATACAATATTATCTAAACAATTTATCACAGTAATAATGAGTGTTACTATTACAATGATAATATCTGTTATAGGTATTATTAATTGTATTTTATCAATAATGGTTTATCGTAGGCCAGCATCGCAAAAAGTTGGTTGTGGAATATACCTCTTAGTTGCGTCATATAATTCCCTAACGATTATGATCTTATTTACACTTAAGTTTTGGTTACTTTTTTTCTTGTATCAATTGGTATACGAACATCGTAATCTACAAGTTATTCTTTTCATAAATTGTTGAGTTGTTGAACCTCTTATAAAAGTGGTATTAAATATAGACAAATGGCTGAATGCTTGTGTATCTATCGAAGGAATCGTTTCTGTACATCAAGGAATTAGTTTTAATACGGGGAAAAGTAAAACAATTGCCAAATATGCAATGGCACTAGTATTTCTTAGCAACTTCGGTGTCTATGTTCTTCAAATAATTGAACTTCGTGTTTTTACTGACAACATAGAAGAACGAAGTTGGTGTGTCATTACTTATTCATCATTTATGCAAATATATAGTTTTACTTTGATTATGTTTTATTATATTGGTCCGTTAGCAACTAATGTGATATCTGCTATTACTATTATTATAATAACTGCTTGTCAGCGTTACCGAACAGCTGCTAAGAGTAAGGGTGTGGTGTGTCCCTTCCTCACCCGTCATCACACCCACTTCTTTTTTTCTTCTCCTTAACTATGAAGTTCATTCTTGGTTTTAATCCTATTTTCCATAATAAAAGTCTTTTTTCCTTCCTCCCTTCTCTTATACACTTAAATGTATGCTGTTTCTTATACTAATATGGTTGAATTTATAAATATGTTAAACAGAAAAAGTCATGAAATTGTTCATTTTTGTGTTGTTCTTGCTCATTTGTTACTTTTTTTCTTTTAATTTCTTATTTATTACAACAACAAGTAAAACAATGATAGTAGTATAGAAAAAGAATTTTTTTATGCAAAATCATGTTTGTGAAATTAATGGGTCAAAACGTTGATTAAAATAAATTTTTAACAATTTATTATTTTAAATGAATATATTTACAGCTGATATCATTCCGTTATTTTTAATGACATAAATATTTTATTTGCTAGATAGGATCGACAATTATGAACCAATCATTATATATATCCTGAGAAGGCATTGTATGTACTTTTCTATAATTAAAAGAAAATCTATTTTTAAATTCCTAATCTTATATGTCTATCTTCATTTGTGCATTTATATTATAAGTCAAATTAGGCCGCTATTTCAATGAATACTGTTTTTCTTGGGTTAAATGCTAATGAAACTGATATTATTACTTCAAAACAAATCGTGAATAGTATTAGATTCAAGTTCTGTATTAAAATAGAAGAGAATCGATCACGATCTAATTAGAAACAAATTTCTATTGATTTGAATCATACTATTTTTATTTACAATTCATCACAAGAAGAAGATAATACGTGTATTAGAAAATTGTATCTTCTCATCGAATAGTAATCTTAGCTGTCGTTCGTTTCATCTTTCCAGTCAAAGCAACAACGTGAACTCTATTGACTCTTGTTGATTTCCGAATGAAACTGCGTATTTTCGTCAGTAGTTCTGGTAAAACACTTAAACATATGATTGGTAATAAAAGTGGCGTGAAATAGACAATGAAAAGAATTGTTTCTAGTTGATCAATCATAAATGACGGCATGAGAGTAATTTGAATAAGTTGTGTTATTGTCATCGGTAACCAGCATGCCATGTAAAGTGATGAAACAATCCAAAGTTGTAAAACCATTCGACGATGACGTTGCCAATGAATTGTTTGATGACGTGATCGTTTCTGATAAATAACTCGAATAATCAATGTAACATTGGCAAACATGATCATCATTACATAACTATTCATTCAAAGCATCATATTCTTCGAAAGAGTGTGAGTGTGGATGTAATGACTATGATTTTCTTTTTTGTTAGTTCCATTCACATCCATCCTCAAGATGCTCAAACCCTTACTCACATCCTCATCTATAAATCATATATTTTTTGAAAGATATTTTTCATTATCATCTTTTTTGACCTATAATGTTGTTCCCATATCTCGAAGGATACGAGAGTACTCGGATGATCCTGGCCGATGTCCAAAAATCCGCTTGAAAGAACCTGATCTCAAGGAAACCAGTGCTGGCTTTCAAATCGACGAAAACAGATACTACACTTCGATCCTAGTCTAAAAAGGCAAGAAGCGACAACTAAGCAGTCAAATTCGAATTCTTTATTCTCACTTTTCATACACATTTCACTTTTTTTGTCAAATGTAAGAGAATAATCGATTTGTTTTGAGATTACAACGTGTTTATTCTGCATGATTCTTATACAATGAATGTTTCGTACGAAGAACTGAAAATATTCTATGATTCATTGTTATGCAATTTATAGTGCTGCACAATCGCTTCTTATTTTTGAGTAATTATTTTTATGAAAAATTTAACGTAAAATAAACTCTTATCTCAAGTTTTAATTGAAATTTGCTTTTGAATTAAAAGCAAACTGTACAGTACCAGATCCCAAAGCATTAAATCAAAACAATAAGAACGGTAATATTGCAAAGAAACCAAAAGAATTACCAAATTTAGAAGAATAATGTGTACTACTATTCAAATTCTTTTTAATATTGATCATATAAAATATACATACAAAGCAACTCAAAAACCTCTGCTCGTAACAACTGAGTGAAAAATAAATTTGAGGGTAAGTGTGGGTGAGTCTCTTCCTCACCGATACTCACACCCTTTTGTAACTGAATTGATTAACCCTTTAAGTACCAACGGGGCCTATAAGCCCCACTCTTTAAAATTTGACAAATTCTGAATAAATTGCGAATGCGAAACAATATCGAAGTGCACTTGTCATTGTGGCATAGGGGACATGTAGGTGCTTGTATTCGCGCGGTATTTATCATTTTAATAATCCTTCAAGTACCACCGTGCCGTAAGGGGGTAGGGGTATCGATCGAAAATGACTTCGAAAGTTTTTTAAAAATTTTCAATGAAAATATTCACAACATACAATATACATGTTAGAAATAAAGTCCTAACAAAGTTTCATCCATTGGCTGAGCTATGGTACTTAAAGGGTTAAATGAGGAGAAGAATATTTTTCTCATCCACTAAGTTGTTTTATTTTAAAAAACTAGCTATTCATATCCATCTTATTTAGGTACACACACATATAAGATATTCAAGAAAATATAGAATTGACAGAGACAGATGAACAAAGGATAATAAAGAGAAGAAAGAAGGTGATCTAATTGAATCCCTCTTACTTTTCATTAAAATGGGAAAAAAGCAAAGAAGATGGTATTATACATCTTCTTTCTAATTGTGTAAGAAGTAAAAAAAAATGTAGAATAAAATAAGAAAAAGAAAGATGTGGATGAACAATATGATGGTCATGTGAAAAATAGGACAGGAGAAAAAAAAATAGTACGAATGTTCTTTGAGTGTTATCTAACATTTGTACATTAGATATTGAATGAATTCATAGAAAAAGATCAAAAATGTTAATTTAGCAACAGCAAACCTTGGCACATGATCTTTTGACAGTGACGGTTTTCTTTCTGATGACTTTGCAACATGGTTTGCAGCAGCACACAGTTTTAGTTACACAACATTTTGGACCGCAGCAGCAACAATCGCAGCAGCAAGGATCACAACAAGAGCAACAGCAAGGGTCACAACAGCATGGATCACAGCATGAACTACAACACGAACCGCAGCCACAGCCACAACCACAACCGCAACCACAACCACAACCACATCCACATCCACAACCACAGCCTGGCATATTAATAGTAATAATTTAATGTAGAGTAAAACTAGAGTACGATAAGAATTGGTTTGTGAAACTATGAGAATAGGTGTGCGTATATATAGGGAGAGGTAGAGAAACGAATAAAATTGTTTTCAGTCAACAAAAATAACTCATGACTGCTCTCACATGTCAATATCTAACATACACATGTAATAGAAAAATATATGAAGAGACATAAGTAATTCTTTGTTACTATTCATGTAACGCAACAAAAATATGAAATTCACACTTATTATCAATGTCTTTCCTTTGATTTGTTTTGATAGTATAGAAAACATCTAAATTTAATTTCACATTCACCTTATGACCACGACTCTAAAAGTGTATATGTCATTTGATACACTTTTTTTTATGAAAACAGTGGTCATCAAAAAAAAAAAACTATATGTTTTTGATGAGAAATATTGATTCTTACGTTCTCGTACACATATAGTGTAACATCATCAAATTACGTGAATATCATAACGCAACACAACTCAAACGAAAGTAGTATGAAAAATATATAATAATATGGGTACAATAACAAGAATGATAACAACACTGATTTCATGTATCAGTTGTCAATGAACGAAAGAATGTTTTGATGATGCAAAGACGTGCAAAAATGGGTGTGGGTGTGGGTGTGAAAAGAATATAATATCCACAGTTACATCCATTCACACCCACACCCACACCCAGATGGTTTATACAGTTCAATTTAGATCAAATAAATTATTCAAAGAATTCTTTAAATAGAAGTAGATGTTTTCTAATAGCTTCTTTGCTTAAATAACTTAGCATATGAACTGCGAATTGATCTAATCTAAATAGTAGTACAGTCGGCTACGATGATCTAATTTTAACCGAAAATATCCTATGTACGATATGACAAAATAACTGCGCTCATAAAATATCATCACAGTTTATTATAGTAAAATATCTTCGAAGATTCTGTACATACTAAAAGAAAAATAATTCAGATGAATTCAATGATAAAATGATTTATTTTTAAATAAGATGAACAAAAATGACAAAAAAGCAGATTGTTTCATCAAAATTCATTTGATTACAAATAATAACTTCAGTTAACATCAACATCAAACTTCACTATTCGATGAAAGAAATTATCAACAACATATAGATTCCCTTCTCGATCTAGTGATATAGCTGCGGGCCCAGCGAACAGATATGGCGGTCGTTCGTAATTCCCTCCATTAATAACAATGTGACCATCTTCAGACCCTTCTGACCAGTGCACTATTTGATTGTTGTCAAGTTCTGATACATATACATTACCAAAATGATCGACAGCCATTCCAGGTGAATAAAACGACGGTGGTATATTACCATCTGGAATTTGTTCCTTAGCAACAATAATTCCTTCTTTTGCATTTTTCATCCATTTTGTCACACGACCATATTCATGATCAGATACATAAATCGAATATAGTTCATCAACAAAAATGTAAGCCGGATTATTTAGTTGGTTTGGCTCATATCCATACCCATTTCCACCGGCTACAGTTGTTACCTCTGCTTCTCCTTGTTTTAATCGTACAACACTATGTGTTTTTCCTTCTGAAACATAAATATCTCCATTATTATCGATTGTTACACCATTACATTGAATTTCGGCAATAATTATTCTTGGATCTATTTGGTTTTGACGAGACCATTGTACTACTCGTTCGTTTCCTTGATCACAAATAATGAGTAAATCATTTTTTTTATCAACAGTTACATCTGATGGATTATGCAATTGATCTAAATCATTTCCTTGTCCATTCCCACCAGCAACGATTTCACCACTTTCTTCACCGAATTTCCATCCAACAATTCGATCACTATTATATTGTGTAATATACATCGTCTGTTTATCATCATCAATACAGATTCCTCGAACTAAACTAACTTGATTTAAGTCATTTCCATACCCATTTCCTCCAGCAACAATAGAAAAATCTAGTTTCCATTTAAGATTCATTTTATCTAAAACAAATAAAATTTATAATTGCACATATCTTGAAAGTGTGAATAAGAATGTTGCATTTATCATCCACTGCTCTACTCACTTATCATTGGTGGACATATGTTTTCATTCATCATTGTAACAGGATAGCAAAGAGGACGATCATCACATTGTAGATGTTGAACGCAGATCGTGTTAGATTGAAGACATGAGTTGTCTGAGGAATTACATGGTACAAGCCGAGAGCATGTGGGCCAGAGAAAACCACATATGCCAACACCATCATTAGCACCTAACATATGAAAACAGCCGCAAGCATTGTTTGTCGAACACTGGCCATACTGAGCAGTTTTCTCACATATTTGAGATTCTATTTGAACTATGAAAGTGATAAACTAATACATATAAACACATATAAAATAGAATAGAAAACAAACCTGTTATGCTAAAATATAAAATTAATGAATGTTAACAAAATGAATGATAAAAATGAATAATTATTTACCTAAGAATAATAAAAACGACATAGCAGTAGATATTGATTATAGCCATAGTTGATTTGAAAACAAGAGAATATAATAAAAAAATGGGTGTTTTTATTTCTAAGACACAGATAATATTTTAAGTCAATATAATTGAAATATAACAGATGGATCTATTCACATATCAATAATTGAAAATTTGATATTGATTTCATTTCTTTGTAATCGTTTTAATCTACCCTGTGATAAATAAAAAAATGAAATAAAAAAATGCATGGATCATCATGTGATAAAGTTAAGATTCAAGTGGTATTAATATATTTTCAACATTGGAAAGAACTATTGTATTTAAATGTAATTTCACATATAATTTTGATTTATATTTGATAGGAGAAGGAGAATATTTTCGGTAGTATTTAATCGATAGAATACAAACACTTAAAGGAGAAGTAAATTTGAAGAAAAAGTAATTCTCAAAGAAAAGAATTACTTCCAATTGTATGTGACATTAGCAATAACTTTATCATAATCTTCAACAACTATGTGAAGTGCATGTATGAGTATTGGTATGATTATCATGTTCTTTTCAATTACATCCAAGCCATACTCACACCCACCCTCTACGATGATGAAATCATTTGTAATAGTAATTTATTTATTGTGTTGACTATATTGTTTTTCTGATATATGAATAGAATCGAATATAAATTCACTACTTATTTCTTAATCCTATGTTTTTCAATGATTAGAATTTAAACTTGAAATAGAATTGAATAATTATTGCTTTCATTGGTAAATATTCTTGAGGGCATGAGTAAACCGAGGAAAGGCTCACATCTACACTCTTCTTACCATCTGATTAATATGAGACAAAAAAAATTAAAAGATATATATATAATGTGTTATTTATGGACATGTTACTTGAGGATCGTAACGAATTATTTGTTGATTTTCTCTTCGTGTCACTAATAAAATATAATTAGTAAGAAAAAGAAGATCATATATACTGCCCGATCCTAAACTCATATTCCAATTGGCGATTATTATTCCTGATTGATCATAAATACGTAATCCAAATGGTCTAACTATTTGCCAAACTCGTCCACAATCATCGATGGTTATATGAGACCCAGAACCATTTATAGTGTTATTGCCAAACGCTTGATATTTCCACGTTGAATTTTCATAAATATAAGCCGCAATTCGTAAGGTGTTCCAAGATGAAACATAGAGAAATGTATCGTTAACCGTAGCGAGACCGTGAACATCGAATGGAACTGGAATAGCTTGCTAAAAAAAGTAACATAAAAATAAATATTTATTTTACGAAAAATTTGTTCACCTGAAACGTATAATTTATCGGAGAATCAATATTAAAAATAGCAATTGATTGATTACTTTGAGCAGTCATAATTAGATTTTGATCGTTGTTAATAAAAATATATTTTCTTAATATACCCAAGATTGTATGATTTATATTTACTATCAAACTGCCCAGTTGAGTATCATATATTTTAATAGCTGGTGTTCCATCAATAGCAGTTAATACTGAGTTATTATGTAATGCAAAGCTTAGCGAGGTATTATGAATCGTAACATTTCGTATATATATTAAATTATATGAATTAAACCAATATACATAACTTCCGGTACGTCCAATAACGGCTATTTCATCTGGTTTATTTTCATCGTAACCAAATACTGAAGGTATAAATGAAAGATTGGCAATAATTGGTATAGCATTTTGTAACCGTGTAAGAAGTGTGCTTATATCTGGCATACAACATTTACTGGAATTCGGAAATATGTTTTGAAGAAAATAGATTCTTGCGCCAGAGAATGATACTAATTTGTATGTTACAGGAAATGTTTGAAAAAACTGACATGTCTCATTCGGGAAACAATTCAATGCAATGTAAGATACATTATTGTTTGAACTAAGAAAAGTGCACAGACATTCTAAACATGTGCTATTGATGTATATAGTGGTATTAAAATTCGTATTAAAATACGGCTGAAAATAAGTATTTGTAATAAATGGGATTGATGCACTACGGACATTGACAGCAAGAAACAGCAAAAAGTAAGTGGCAATGATACTCATCTAATTGTATATCATTCAAGACGGAAGAATAGAATACTTTGATGTTATGTTAAAAAAAACTCGTGCATTTTATAATAGAGAAAGAAAGAAAATAGACATGGAACGAACTATTTTTTTAAAGTTAATTGAAAATCGGTGAATATATTGTGATGTGTTTGTCTATTTAAATAATTATATTCTCGTCATCACGGCTTCGGCTTTTACTTTCTCTACATTTGTAATGTTAACAAACATGGATATTATTTACATAAAAACTGACGGTTGCATACATGTAAACACAAAATATATCTAGAAAATATTGGATTGGCAGATTTACCACAACATTTAGCAACTTATATGCATCTGTTGTTTCATCCTCATTGTATATCTTCTCTTTTTCCTTCATGTTAGAAGTCTCATTGATTTAAAAAGTGAGTGGTGTAGTGTGAGTTCATTTTCTTTTCAACCACACTCTCAATTCTTTGTTTCATTTCGAAAATATTCCACAGCAAATTGATGGTGGCGATTGTGAATTATTTGCATTAGCTTTTGCTACTTCTTTTTGTTATAAAGATGTTTGATCTATACGTAATCACTATGTTCTATGTATTGAAAACAGTAAAATAAAACTATTTTCTGGCAAAGCATAACAGATCAAGTACTAAAAACTTTTGTAAATCGATTGATCTTTATTTAAATTAAGTTTTTTTTCATCTTTGCGCAATTATAATACTTGATGTGTACTAAACAATTAACAAAGTAAAATTACTGTTAGGTAAAGACATTTCATGTAGTCTGATAATCAAATGAATTTAAAACTGTGATATAACTTACTTTTTACTAAGTAATTCATTAAATCTACTTTGGTGTACATTGCCACTTGCTATATTTAATGCATATCTTATAATAAAACGTTGAGAATGTGAATGTTGATGCAGAAAATCCAACGATCAAGTCCATATGATCACATACTCTAGACTTAGTAGCTTCACTCATTTTTACTACATACAAATATAAATCGAATTGAACGGTTTGTATTGGACCATTGACGTGCTTTAATTGACAAACAATTTATCAGGCATTAAAAAAGCAATATAAAAAATTCGGTCTATAAGATGAATGATAAATTAGATTATTCATACTTTTAATGAACTTTATTCTTCGCTAAGAAAAAATATTTTAAAAGTGACAAAAAAAACCATTTACTAAAAGTCATTTTATCATCAAAAACTGTGTTCAGTCAAGATCAATAACAAATTTTTGTATTCGATCGTTTAGTATATCGACAACATAAAGATTACCCTGTCGATCGAATGATAAATCATATGGATAGCTGAGCTGCGTGGATCCACTTCCCATATTCTTTTCACCAACAACAGGAGCACCTTTTATTGCACCTGGCGACCAACGTGTTATCTGATGACTTCCCACATTCGACATATAAATATTACCCATATGATCATTGAGATTGTACTCAAGGTTTTTTAAAAATACTATTGTATACGTGAAAATACCACTAATAAAAAAATCATCAATTCTTCCTAAATATTTATTCTATAATTACAATACTGTTGGCATGTATTAATAACAAAAAATTACAACTATGATTTATTTGATTGAAATAAAAGAAAACGAGATATTT